TTGGATGTCAAAATTTCAAAAAATCACTTAATTTTGAAGTTATTTCAAATAGCTTTTCATAAAAATCAATTTGGAGATACAACTTTTTGAGAAAAAATGCGATTTGGACTATGTTTTGATCTTAAATAATGTATGTTTATTTTATAGGACGCCAAAATTAATCTTTCAATTTAGAAAATACGAATATGCAAACATATTGTAATATTTTGAAAAGGACTTTATAAAATCCACTTTTGAAAATACAAAAAAAAAAATCTACTTTCTAAAGATAAAACAAACAAGCCCAAATTATTCAACCAAGAGAAAAACACTCCTTAATAAATTTACATTAACACCCTTTCAAAAATACAAAATTCTTCACAAACACAAGAAAATTCTTAACGACTATGGCTAAATTAAAGCGAGAGAAAGTAGAAAATATTTTAGAGAGTGTGTGGGGATTAAGATAGAAGGATTGTGTTTCTGGATGTTAAAATGTGAATGGAGAATTTTATTTACAGGCTAGAGGTTTGCACAAAAAAGAAAAGGTCTATGAGCCAAAATAAATGATCCAATCGATTGTGACCACGGGCCAATCAATTAAAATGCCTTAATAATTATTTTCCAAGGCTCAAAAAAGAAAGATTGGATACAAAAATGTTTCTCTTCATTAAGAAATTGTCACAATCTTTTATGGACAACGTTTGCATTAACCCAATCGATTGGGTAAAAATGCCAATTGATTGGACAATTTAATATTTTATTCAAAACTAGTCTGATACATTTATTAATCGGAAGGAGGAAGTCAAATTATGATTAGAAGATAACTTTAACAAAAGAGTGCAGTGCAATTATCCAAAGAAAACTTTCCCCATAGCTCAAAGATCCAAGGTGATTTACAATTTCTTTTACAATAGGTAATCTAACGATAGAGCGGGCACTTTGTGATTTAAGGGCAAGCATCAACTTGATGCCTCTTTAAATGATGAAGAAGTTTGATCGTGGTGACGTAAGTCAACTCAGATGACCTTCACATTGGAAGATCAATCCATTTTTTTATCCTTATGGTATGCTTGAAGATGTGATGGTTAAATTGCATGGTTTTCTATTCTTGACATCGAGGAAAATGCAAAGTTACCTATGATTCTTAGAAGACCTTTCTTAGAAACTAGTATAGTTGTGATTGATGTGGAGTTAAGTGAATTTATTTGAGATGTAAAGATAATAAGGTAACTTTTAATGTGTTTCAAGAGATGCATCATCACAATAAAAATCCCCAATACTATCGTGTTGATGTAGCTGAAGAAGGGATCCAAAAGCTAAAAAATTCCAATATCCATGAAATGAAAGAGCTTTCACTATATCTAAAGCATGTCCTCTTGAGAAAATAGTTGAGACCTCTTAATCTAAATTGTATTTATTTATCTAGTATGAAGATAAACCTAGAAGAATGTTTAGAAAGAATAAAGGAACACGTATATGGAACATGCTTGATTTAAAGGGAAGAAATCTGATTAACTGCGTGCATAAGATCAAGTTGGATTTTCAACTAATTGGATACACTAATACAAGTTTGAAGGAAGCGTATGATTAAAGGATCAAATGGTCAAGTTAAAGACCTTAAATAAGCTCTGCGTGGGAGGAAACCTACATATTGGTGTTATTTAGCTTTATTTCATTTTTCCAGTTTTTTATTTTATGCTTTCTCTTTTGTGAGCTACAGGTGTTTTACTTAATGAATGAATTTGTGAATGTTGTTTATTTCAGGTAATAATGTGCTACTTTACCATTGAGAATTTTAAAAGCAACATGAAACAAATCACCAAAAAGAATGAAAGAATATAATTGATCATTACGGAAGTTCCAAATGCAAACTAAAAGTGAATGTAGAAAAAGGATAGCCAACTGAATTGTATTCAATCTCTAGATACCTCAGCAAGTAAGGTTTGAGCCAAATATTTCATTGTTCACTTTTCTTTCTTATAAGAGTATTCGTACAATTGTTGTTTTTTATAATTTTCTTTGTTTCTGGTTTAGTCTATTGGTCTAACAAATTACATACTAGGGAACTTGTATGTGGAAATTTTGAACATTTTCAAGGCAATGTGTATTAAATGTTTATATCCTTTGTTTAAATCCTTAGAGTCTGATCCCTTTCTTTGTTGACATAGCCAAATATGTAGTCATTTGACTTGAAGGACTAATATTTTCACCCTCTTTGGAGTTAGGTTGAATGTTTAGTTTTCTTATCTGGTGCCAAAGAATAAGTTTAAGATTGCTCTTGGAAGTTAACAATATTTAAGTTTGGAGTTGAGGTACTAGAGGAAAATGGTCAATATAAAAAAAATAGATTTAGAAAATAAAGAAGTTAAAATGAATTCTTCAAAAAAATGAGGATGAAAAATAAATAAAAAGGACAAACAAATTGTATCGTCTAGTACTTATTGATCAGGTAAAGATGTTTATGAAAGGAACATGGTGACATAAGAAAAACTAGGTATCTAACTCCAAAGATTTAAACCTATTATTCCAAAAATATTCTACTTTAACATAAGTCTCATTACAGTCTTGAAAAACCTCAAAAGTATGTATTTAGATATGACTTTAATTAACTTTGTTAGAAAATTTTCAAACTTACAATAAAATGCTTTTGTATGTTGATTGTGTGAGTATCCTGTTTAATTCGAGTGAAAAAGGTGAGATGAGAAACAAATTGAGTACATATGAATGTTGAAAGAATTTTTTGTGTTTGTCTGGATTGAAGCATAAAATAGAAGTCATGATCAGAAACAAGAAAATGGTGATGTTCATTAGTAAGGGTAAACATGTTTTATGTTGAAATTTTCAATTTACATGTGAGTTGCTTAAGGACAAGCAACAAAGTAAGTTTGAGGTGTTGAGAATGTAGTAAGTGTGAGTAGTGTGGTTAATAGTCCCACATTGATTGGAAATATGAAGACTTGAGCATTTATAAGTGAGAGAACCCATCCACCTATCACCTTAAGGTTTTGGGTGAATATGTGATGTGTCTCTCACAAATGTGTTGCTCTAAAAAAAAGTCTCACAATGTTCAACACTCCCTAGTAAAAATCTCCTCGGACACATGGTATCATGAGTTTTTGGTTCGAAAAAGGGATTGGCTTACTTGTATCACAAGTGAAGGGCGACACAAGGGTGGTGAGTAAGAAACGTTATGTTGAAGAGTGTCAACGGCGCCACAAAGATGGTGAGTAAGAAATGTTTTGTGCGGTACAAGAGTTTGTGGAAGTAAGAATAGTTTTCAATTGAGGGGGAGCATTGTGGACTCACAATTCACGGGAGTTTTGAGAATGTAGCAAGTGTGAGTAGTGTGGGTAATAGTCTCATATTGGTTGGAAATATGAAGACTTGAGCATTTATAACTGAGAGAACACACTCACTTATCACCTTAAGGTTTTGCATGAATATGTGATGTGTCTCTCACAAAGATGTTGCTCTAAAAATAAAGTTTTACAATGTTCAATACTTTCTAGTGAAAAACTCCTTCAACATGAGGTTGTGATGACACTTTGGCATCATGTACTTTTATTAAGCATTTGCATATGTTTTTGATGATTTTCAATATTTTATGTTTGAGTTTTATGAAGATATAGGAAGAAAATGAAGAAGTGGAGAAACAAAGCAAAATGTGGAAAAAGTGAAAAATTGTGAAGAAAACAAATCATTTTCAGCCTAATTTGCATCATAATGTATGTCCGATAATTTGATCATATCTAGAGTTTCAAAACTCAGAATAAAACAAGACTTTTTGAAAATAAAAATTAACAAAAAAATCTAACTACTGAAAAAATCGCATTCACGATAGCTTGCTTACTACCTATGCATATGCATATTATCTCGGTTCTTTAAACTTTTCACTTCTTTAAGGAGTTTGGGGAGGGGGTTTGTCTTATCTATGCATATTACCGCGGCTCTTTAAACTCTTTGAACTTTTCACTTTTTTAAGGGGTCAAAGAGGGTTAGATGAGCTCTTACGATGGTTTGATATGCGGAGGTTTGGTTTATTTGAAATTTTCATAATAACATTTTTTCAAGAATGCCTTTAAACGAGGAAGATATAAACGAGGAAGATATGGAAGTTCAGAGTATTTCTCTTATTTAAAAATGATATTTTTGTAGATTGTCAGTTTTTCATATATTTTTTCTATCTGACTTGCGAATTTTATTCTTTGTCTGAGTCAATAATGATATGAGAGAATAATGATTTGAGAGTGTTTGTCCAAGATCTTTGAAGTTGTGTTCCTTGTTTTCATGTTTTTAAAAGATATTATTCAGTTGATGATGGTTCTCATTGACTGAGTTCTAGCATGATGCCCTCTGCTGATGGTGTTGGTTATTAGTTCTTTTTGTCTTGTTTTTCCTTCTTTCTGTTTTTTTTTTGGATTATTGGGCACATTTTATTTCTTTGTTTAACTTCTTGAGTTTCTTTCATGTTTTGGTGTATGAACTCCTCTTCCTTTTATATATATTTTTGCCTTTTAAAAAAAATTGCATCAGAATTTACCATTTGATCCAGTATTTCATATATTTAATTTAAAATCCAATATTTCATTGATATATAAAGCAGGTTGGCACAACAATTTTCAATTTTGATGATGACATGATACCTTAATTAATCTAAAAAATGTGGTTGAGAACGATATAGGTTGTGAAGAGATACACGTTGAGCTTAGCTCACACCGGTATCATTCAATTTCATTACATTGATTGATTGCATGGTCCCTCACCAACATTTGGTATATCCGAATCCCTTTTATTTCTATTCCTTCAACCCTCATATACAACAAGTAAAACAAATACAATCTGTCAAAAAAATATATATACAAAATAAATATGATAATTTTGTTAAGAATATGACGTACAAATTTTCAAGTATAAAGTATTATTAAGTCCACAATATTGTTGTCTCTTTATCCATATCTCTCTTACTCTTCCTCTATAAAGCTAGTGTTTGGTTTCATTTTTGTTATGAGTTGGTCTGAATGGTGGTTCCATTCAGCCTTGTGGATAAAATGAGAACAGAAGAATGGTTGTTGGTAGAGGGTGAAGATGAGGATGATCAGTGTTCATCTTCAACAACTTCGTCCATTGGGAAGGACAGCGATGTATCAAAATGCAGTGACATAGACGACGAGAATGAGGCTCAGAGTGCATATAAATATGATGTACCATTCAACATGATGGACTCACTCCATCACCTTCCCATCAGGTTCTCTAATTAACATTCTTAGTATTCTGTGTGTTTGAATAAGTCCTCGTAAAAATTAGTGTAATATTATTTAGTTTAAGAATGAGTTTAAATTTAAGTATACCTGTATTTTTACAAACTAATCTCTAACTTTATTTTGTGAAATCGTGTGACCATGCAACTTTTCATTAAATATAGCAGTAAATAAAAGTGTTCGCTACTATAATTTTCTTCAAATTAAATAGTTATGATTTTTGAAGATTTATCATGTTGTTGATTGATAGGAAGGGAATCTCAAAGTTCTACGATGGCAAGTCTAAGTCATTCATGTGTTTGGCGAACGATGTTACTTCACCATCCGTTAAAGATATAGCAAAACCAGAAAATGCATACACAAGGCGGCGTAGAAATCTAATGGCCTTCAATCATGTTTGGGAGAAGAATGGAAATTTCCTTTTGAGAAGTAACAATGGTGGAATTTCTAAGAGAACGTTAAGCTTGAATCAAAGCGCTGTGACTCTTGAATTTGCTATGAACTGTGACAGCAGTAGTAGTTGTTCCAGCGAGGAATCAACTTCAAGCTCAAACCCTAGATCTCCTCCACCTCCTCGACGAAATCAACCGTCTAGTGCAAGTTCTAGTCCAAACTCTTCTATTCGCTCTCACTGGCTGATCTCCAATAGTGCTAAAATTGTAATGAATTCCTCCATGAAAAATGAGGCTGAGCATCTATCACGTTAAATCTTTTATCTTAGGGAGCGTGTAAGCACTAGCTCAATAAACACTGATTCTTAATGTCATTGTAATTGTTTCTTTTTTGTATTTGCTAATCTTCAGAACTTTAAGAAATTTAGTAAAACATTGAAGGAAGTTTGTAATGGACAACATCATAAAAAATCACAGTATCAACCTTCGCATAGCTGGCCCCCTTTCTAAGGCTCACTAATTTCTGGATATAGTCCAATATATATCTTGACATTTGAGTTGCTCAATTTTTTTTGAAGATAAGACTATGTCAAGGCAATAAAGTTCAGTATATACATCCGTGAACAATATATTTAATTTCTTTAGCCAAAGGCTGTCTGTTTGCAGTTGCATTCCTACAAATCATACAACTAAAATGCCAAGGATACATTTACCTAAGATTAGCTGCATAATAATAGAAGCAGCGAGTGAATCTCCTAGACTGAGTAATCTATTTTTGGATAATTACAAATTGCTGGTTAAACAATGTAATATAAGGGGGAAATAGAATCAACCCATCAGAACCATTTTTTCCATCTCCTTTGGTAATTAATATCATAATTAGCAAACGAAGTGATGAGAGCTGCAGAATATGAGGACAAGCTGTCGGCGTGAAGGGAAACATTTCTGGCTGGATTGAGTTGCCATATTTCATATTGCAAATCAATGAGGGAAACGATCTTGTAATTATAAATCCATTATTACTCATGCAAAACAAGAAACTGGGCACAAGGATATTCAGACAAGAATGCTGGGAGCTCAATATCATCAGTATTCACGGCAGGGATTGCAATATCTATGTCTTCAGCAGAAAAAGGAATGCTGCACCAAACATTAATGTTTAAGACCAAGTCTTAGAGATGAAAGCAAATGTAAACTCAATATATTATATGTCCTAAGAAAAATTTTATGGTACATCCATAAAAAAATCCTGCATGTATGTCAGCAGCAAAACTCAAAAATCCATTGAAGAAAGACTTTGAACGATTTAGAATAAATTTCCAAATCTTCTGTTTATAATAGCCTCAAACCAAAAACATAATATTATTCATCAGTACCCTCCTGTCATCCTCTCCAGAATAACTCTTCAACTCTATAACTCTTTAACTCAGTCCAAATTTTGAGATGGTATCAGAGCCTCTCCTAGATCCATTGTTGGGCTTCTCGCATCGTCCACGCTTCGGGCTCATTGAGCCCCAAGCATGAGGGGGGGTGTTGGAATTTCCACCTTAATTACAGTCCACCCCTAGTCGCCTTAATTGCAGCACTTTGGCTTGCCTTCATTGCAGCCCCTAATACTTTTGTATTGGCTTTGAAGGGTGAATTTAGTCTCACATTGCTTTAGAAATATGGCATGTGTTGTGCTTATAAGTGAGGGCAATCCTCATCCTACACGCCGGTTTTGTAGGATGAGTTAGGCCCAATCCAAATTCTGAGACTTCCAACAGAGTGAAGGACTCCCCTTCCTGCCTTCCCCTCTAAAGCTCTCCCCTTCCTTTCTCTTCTAACTTCCAAACAAGGCCTTAAAATATGGCATTCAAAAAACTAATAACTTGCTAAAACTAAAAGAAACTGAAAAGAATCAGATGGGGGAAAGAAGAGTACCTTATGTCATCATCCATCAAGAAAGAATTTGAGGTCAAACTCTGATTGTCTTTGCTCACAATTTCCCTCATTTCACCAACTACCTGTCCATCATATACAGTTCAAAACTAGATGGAAACCATCATCATAATAGTATTTTAAATAAATTTATAACATCACTTGCCTCGTTGGATACACTCTGGGTTCCATACTTGTCATCCCAATACATAGTACTAATTCGATAGATTTGCCTTATAGTTAATGCCTGTTAAAGAATTGAGGTAGAAACATGTCAGAGAAAAAAGACAATATCTTAGACAATATAAGAGAAAATAAATAGGTGAAAAGATCACTATTGTGCCTAAGGACCAAAGATGCCACCCCTCTCCCCAAATCTCAGTACAACAGTTCCTCCATTATTCTTAAGTTAGGCACAAGAACTACAAATGAAACCGCCTTAATTCAACAAATAAATGAAATATATGTCTGTCTAAATAGTGACATTAACATACAGGTTTTTTATACTACAAACTTTCCTCACAACTTGCAAAGAATTTTCCCTGTGACCATGTTATAAAGCCAAAAAATTAGTTCAATTTCTCGAGCATCTTCATGATACGGTAGACATTAATATTATTTGACATGGGAAAGATATTCAGTAGAGATGTTGATACAAATGATACTGCAACAGATTATATGATACAATGACAGCATACCGGACAAAGATCCTGTCTAATTTCTTCCAAAGATTTCTTCCTCTTCTGATGTATTACCTGAATTATTCAAATAAGCAAAGGTATAAATATGAGATAGTGGTGTTAATTGAGATAATCAAAAGTACAACTGAAGTACTGTTTATACCAGAAACCCAACAGCTTGTCTTATATAATTCAGCTCATGCCAGGATGTTCCTGCATACTACAATTCAGAATTACCTGGTTAAACAACTAAAGTCTATTCTCAAATGGTGAGGTCAATTACATGGATCACGGCACACAACTTTATATTAAGCACAATTAAAGCTTAAAATTAAAATCATGAATAATAGCATTAGCAAGCTTAGTTTACCTCTTCATTTGTATTAACTATCCATTTCTCCAGTTCTGCAAGACCAGACTTTACATACTCACCATTTGAGAAAGTACAACATTCACGCCGCAAAAGAAGACTGAAAGAGATAATTGGAAGATTAAAGTTATACAAAAAATTTTACTACATAAAATCAACTGAATGAACCAACAGAGGATGTTAGAGACTTGACGCCACAAAAACCATGTCTGATAATTATGGCCTTTTACTTTTACCTGTTGAACAGCGTCATATTGATGAAGGAAAAGACCTGTGTAACTAGCTTGCGGATGAAGAAGGATGGGATCTGAATATGCAGTTTCACGTAAGAAAAGATGAGGACAAAAAGAAATTAGTTTTTGCACTGGACTGTATAATTTTAGCCTACAGCTGATTTACATTTTTCTTAAGAAAACAAGCTTTGTTAACAAAACTTTCAATAAGTAACCCTATAACAGAAAATACAGGAAACCATTGTATTATATTGAACCAACAGTCTTGTGACACCATCTTTTGAGGTAAATAGACAAATGGAGTGAAGGATATCACAAAAGATGTGAACAGCCACTCCCAAAATATAATATTTTCTCAAATACAAATTGTAAATGACCACTGTATGTAACGCATCAATTACCCAATTTCATACAACTTTCCTTGACATGATATCACCTTGATTAGGATGAAGGGTATAATTTATTTTGTAATTTGGTGTTGAAATAAAGATGAGGTCAATACTAGAATTGACACCCTCCTTCCTCACTCCAGTTAATTGGAATTTACACCTCTACCCCCTAGGTGACCCCTTGAACACCGAAAGAGAATGGTTATGTTAGACTTTTCATATTAATTAGCAAATATGTTTTTAAATAGCAATTATTATATTATTAAGAATGGTTAGTGGATAGTTATGATACTATTAAGAGTGGTTAGTGGAGCGTTATGATACTATTAAGAGAGGTTAGTGCAGAGTTAGTATATAAGAGAAGATAGGGAAGAGTTTATTATCGGGGAATTAGTGAGTGGTTATTGGGAGAGATCCAACTCTCGAACATTTGGGAAGGGAGAGATCCAAGACTCTCGAATTCTTGGAACGAGCCAAATTGATCCCTGTCATGCTGTCTGTGTTATTTCTGTTCTGTACCAATAAATATCAGAAACTGTCCCAATTTTATTTTGTAAAAGAACCAGTTTCTATCAGGTTACAACCCAGACACTATATCTTTCTAACCCAGTCACTACTACTTAGTTACTGGAAGCTAGCATCTTGCCTGAACTTGCAGTAATGAAGATTTAGCACTTTTTCAGCATCTAGCATGTTATCCAGAATTAGCAGGTTGGTCAACATTTGCAAATCCATTATGTATATATAAATGATCCTTACGTGAGATATAACAATATATTAAAGGCTTGAGCTAGGATATAGAATAATGGCTAATTAGAGTGGTTAAAGCAGTGAAGAGTTTTTATAGAAGTTAGCTGGTTAGCTGGGGTAGTTATAGGGTTATTTATATAAATAGGAGGATACAATGAAGAGTTGTTCATTATTGAATATTGTAACCATTGTGAATAGAGTAGTGAATCTATGGTGAAAGGGGAAACCCTTGGAGAAATTTATCTCCTATTCGTTTCTCTCTTTTATTCTTTCTTAATCTGTCAATAACATAGTTCTTTCCTTTGGAATAAATTCCTTGGTTCCTAGGTATAAACTATGGTTTCCTAATCTTTGAAAAAAAGGAAAAAAGTGAAAGCTGCCACTTTATGAGATGGTATTAAAAAAAGATGACCAGATGAAAAGTATACAATTATTGATTGACAGAAGAGAATGAGTATTGGTTCATGCAAGAAGCTGAAATTTCAAGGCAAAGTGCAATCAATGATACACTTTTTGCATTTAATTGGAGTGTAACTTTTTGTGACTTAAAGGAGGTGTCGGTGAAATATCAGCTACTAGAGGCATAAGATTAGATGTGTTGCTTCTATTGGGTGTTAAAGTAGGTGGTTCTTTTCAGGGGTTTCCCGTTAAGATATGCTCAGATTGGTCGCTAACTTTTATTGTTTTTTCTACCTTGCTCTTGTTTTCTTTGCATTTGGGAAGTTCCCTAGTTATCCAAACTCTTTGCAGCTACTTGTCTTAATTAAATTCTTCTTTTACATTGGAAAGAGCCGATCCCAGTCCACGCACATTATACAAGGAAAATGACCAACAAAAAGGGATGAACACCGAAAAAACAAAGTAACAATCAGGTTATTAAAACAATGAAGAACTTACATTATTCACACATAATTGGTTCAAGAGTGAATTCAAAAAATTGATGATGTTGTCCCATTGGCCACCAGGTGGTTGT